GAATTTACAAATAGTGACATTTCAGAACAATTTTGACATCTAAAAACAGACAAGCCATCTCATAGCAGCACTTACAATTCACTTCTAATATAACCAACCTGAAATGCAGAGAACGAGTTACAAGTCCTTTCAAAATACTCACTCTTTATTCAAAAAGCCCCCCCTTCTCCTCATTGGAATTCAAGGCACATCATTCTATCTGCTGCTGCAGCATCAACAATCCACAGCAGAAAATAACTTGCGTAAGCACGGCATACCAAGGAACACTTAAAAGCTGCACTAAGCTTAGCCACATGAGAAATGTAATAAAACATCGCTCAGCTCATTTAATGTTTGGAAGGCATGATGTCCAGGTTAATATCTGAAGTGGGGGAAGGTAGAGAGTAAGCCATGGGGAGGGCTCCTGAACTCCGCCACAAACAAAACTGGGAAGGTCTATTGTGACTTCTGATAAGAACATTTATTTTACCTCAATTAAAATTTCAGGCATGCCCTTGAGAGGGAAAAAAAGAAAGACTTCTCCCCATACATTTACACACATTCATATGTATGCCTACGTGTATACAGACACAACACACACACCTCTGTCTCAGGAGCCTGGGGAAATGTTCTTATGCATTCTTTGTGGCACTGACCTCATGAAAATGTGTGCAGGTGATAAATACAATTTAATAAAATAATCACTCATGCAAGGGGTATTTAAAAGAATCTTTTCTCTTTCCGATGCAAGAAGCGTATTTCAATTCCATTCTGCTTCTAGAGATGTTATTTGTTCTGCCACCTCTTAGTTGTCAGTTTAGCAAACAGCTGTGAATCCTTAATGATCGTCTCAAAATAGTGGAGTCAATTTAAGATATTTCCAATTTTTTAAAGATATCCTACAAATAAAATATTCTGCAAAATATTTGTGCATCTCTAAACTAATGCTGTATAAAAAACAAACAATGGATGTTTTCTTCCTATCTACAGTCTGTCTTTCCCCTCTCACTTGGAAACGATAGTTACTTTGTTAACAGAAAAGTTCAGTAGAGTGTCAGGCAGTAGTTTGTCTTGAGGGAGTTGACATCTTTTGTTGGGGAGAAGTCAGTTGCTTTTAAAATATATCCCTATGAGAGAGAATTTTGTCCTAAATCATAGCCACTGTAGTTTTGTTTTCTGCTTTTTAAACAGGCATTGGTTAAATCGTTTATTATAAACAAGAATTAAGAAGCTGATGAGTTAAAATGAGATATGGATTCAAGGTGCTCGGAAGAGTTGATTTAGTTATCCCATACACTGCAATTTCTATTAAATCCTTGTGTCGTTGAAGCCAACTGGAAAATTCCTGTTGACTTCAATGGGAGCAGAATTTCATCCATAGACTGTTGAAGGCTCTAATAGGTTGAATCTTGTTGATTAATATTTTTCCATATTCAACAAAAGTTTTTTATTTTTCACTTTCCTTTTGCCCAATAGTAAAATATTGATAAAAGTTTGGGATTCATATTAATAAGAGTCCAGTTTCATGACAAATGTTAAATGATACATTTATAGGTATCAGTCTAAGATATTAAAATAAATTCCTAAGAGATAACTCTTTTCCAGATTATTATCTTCTAATAAATGTGCATTGTGCAAACGTGCCTTAGGCTTGATTAAATTCACACAGCACAAGAACTCTTTAGAGAAGAACAACAGATGGCTATTTTGCTAATCAAAATATAAAGACAAAGAATTAAACTGGAACTTTGAGAGTTGCTGTTCAAAAATTCTATTTGTGGCTGCCAAAACTTATTTAGCCTTTAGGGATTTTAGACAAATTAATTTTAAAATAACCACACCTGAATTACCCGGGAAATATCTGTATTTTAGCTGAACTTCTTTGCTTTTGTACATGTTATGCTTTACTAGATTGGTGACAAGGAAGCAGTATTAGAAACCTAGTATGGGTTATTTTATGCTACAGATGTTTGATAATACAAATACACAAGGCTCAGCTGTCAACTCCGCACTTTAAAAAAATATGATAGCTAATGTGTAACCAATTAATATATTACAAATGAACGTTCACAATACTGGGTCTTTCGTTGATAATTTTTCCTTCATATAACACCATCTGGAAGATGTTTCCCTATTATTGATCATGCCACTTATCAGCAATTCACAATGTATTTCTTTGTACTTGGTGCAAAACCTAAACAACATGGACCTAGTTCATTGACCTTTTGATATTTGGCAATGGAGGAGCAAGGCACAAAGAGCAGAAGCACGCAACCTCATCTTGGCTTGTATTCAGACCAAGACATTCTAAAATATGAAATACATTATCAACTTTTATAGTAAAGGAAGCAATATTTTGAGCCTGATTCAAAAGTCCATTGAAGCCAATGGCAGCCTTTTCATTTACTGGGCATTTGATCATAAAATTTGCAAAGAGAAAGCTATCTTTTAAAATAGCAATATACTGGTAAATAACCTCTCATGCTATCCAGCAAGTGAACAGTACACTTTGTTATACTTTCTAAAATATAATTTGGTGGGAAGTTGCAGAGCTAGAGGTCTATGAGATGTTGGCAACAAAATCTAAACCAACATGGAATGGGTGTGATAATGGATTTTGTTACAAGTTGAAACTCAGGGAATAGGTTGATTGAAAGGTTCATGAACCTTTTGAGTAAACCTGAGCTCAGTTTCAAGTAAATATGGGCTGATTAATAGCTTTAGGTTTAAATGATGTAAAAATGTACAGATTCATTCTATTATTTATTCATAACATAGAATGCTGAACCTGCAACTGAAAATAAAAATTGTGATGATGTGCACTAGTATGAAATCTGATAAAATATTAAAATGAGCTTCTACATTTGGCATTGCTCTTTTTATAATTGCACATAAAAAATTAAGGCTACAAAGTTAAATCTCTACAGAACAACTAAATTGAGACATTGTGTCCATGCAGTACATTGCATTATGAATTTAATTTAATAAAAACTTGCACTTTTCTTAATATTACAGGACTACTTGCCTTACTTCTTGCTGTCAGCCCCAGTGCCTATGCCCAACCAGTCTCAGCTCCCTTTTGTGAAAGGGTTTTTGGTGAAAATCAGTGTTCAACTAAACAAAGATTTTTTTTTTTGTGAAAAATGTCTGCGTTTTATGAAAAAAAATTAAATATTTTGTCAAAAAATAACTGTACGTTTGAAAACTAAAAAGATTCAGCCAAGGAACAAAGTATTTCTATATGGAAATTTCAGCATGTTGGCATGTCAGAGTAGTAGTAATTTGGGCTCCTTCTAAGCCATGTTCCTGAATATGAGGGATAACTAAGGACTCCTATGATAAACTGCAATCACTGGTCAGTAAAATGAGATATAGCATTGCATGCTGGAGAAATAGTTCAGCTAAGGACACCAGCCCATTTTGGAGAAGAGGTGCATGAGTTACCTAAATGACAACAACTTCCAGGTGACCCTGTGTAACTTTATGTGGAGGTTGTAACCTTACTGAGGTGAGAGGTGTCTTTTGGTTCTGTATTCAGTAGGTTCCTGCTTCATTTCCTAGGCTCCTAGCTGAATAATACCAATAATTTTCAGATCAAAATTTGGTGGTTTTACTAGGAAGTTTTAAATTTTATCTCCACACTAGAAATAAAAAAGCCCAGTATTTTTGTGAAGCAATATATTTTTTTCCTGAGAAACAGTGTTAACTAACCCAATATATTGATAGAATGACCTTCTCTGCCTATACTTACAGACTTATATATTAGTGATTTTGACTTGTAAGTCATGCATTTAGGTCATTATACCATCTTAACCCAAGCCTTATTTAGGCAAGCACCTAATGACTTTATCTAGGCTTCCTCCTGATGAGGTAGGTTTTCCACCTTGGACAAGAAAGCAACATATTTCTTTTAAAATCCAACTGGTTTTGCTACAGAGCATAAAGAAATGGTTGGAATCCAGGTCTTTCATTCTTTTTCAAGCAGCTAGTGGCCAACAGAGCCTGCTCTGCCCACTGACATTGTAGCTGGATCCTGAACAGGACATCTTCTCACAGATTTCAGGTAAAATTTAGCCTCAGTAAAGATTGCAGAACCAAGCTCAGATTTTTTTTCTCTGAATACATAAGAAACTCTTATTTACTTTATAACTAAAAACTCTATTGTCTAGGCAGCTGATATATTAGTGGTACTTATTTGCTAATCTTAAAAAGATATATTGTTACTTTATTTTTTGTTTTGGTTGCCCATCTATCTCCCTAGAAGCATCTCTCTCGCTCCCCCTCTCTCACCTCAAGCAGTCTACCATATTTACCAAAATCCTAGATAGCTTCAATTTGAAGACAACCCCCCAAAAATTAGATTCTATACATGGACAATTATAAATTTGTTATAATTTTTGAGGTATAGAATTTAATTATTGGAGAGTCATCTTAAATTCAACCTCCCCACAACTAGCAAGGAAAGCTGGAGCAAGGGCCAGAACCAGAGCCCAAGGTAAGTGGCTAGTGGTGGAGAGGAGAAGGGCAGACTGTAAGATTTGCCCCCATGTTGCCCTACCCCCCACCCCCCGGCACAGTTTCCCTTATACTCTCCCTGCCATGAGCTCCTTCCCAAATCATGTGGCCACCCTGGCCCAGGATGAAAGCCATAGCTGAACGCTTGCCTGCTCCAGGCTGGTACTCAAATCTAAGATGAGGCTTCTCCCCTCCCCAAACACACGTGGCAACTGGGGTGGAAAAAAACCTCATTTTGTATTCAAGCAAGTACAGTAATTCTAAGTTTATGTACAAACATAAAATCCTCCTACATTTAAAAAATACATAAGTAAAATGTAATATACATTTATATTGCTTAGTTAAGGCCTATATGAAAATATTAACAACCTCTTCACCTGATAGGGTATTTAAACTCTCACTGGCCCCATCTACACAAGATGCTGGCTGCGCAGTTGTTGCTAGAATAACACTATACTGATAAGTACTAAATGACTGCACAGTAACCAGAGTTACTATGCAGTTGTGTCAAGGAATGGATGTTTTATGATGCTGACTGCACAGTAGGTCATGACTAATGCACAGTAGCATCACAGTACACTTCCTGCTACATGACACTACTTCACAGTAGTCATGGGCTGCTGCACAGTCAGAGTCTTATCCACTGAGTCCCAGGAGCTACTGCATCATCTTAGAATGGCCAGGTCACCTTCTATGGTTCCTTCAAATCCCTTCTAACATAACAGATTATATTGTGGACTAGAAAAAAAAATAGTGGTAGGAGGAGCAGGAATAGTCAGTAAAATAGAAGTTTAACATAACCTTCAAGATGACAGGTTGAGAGCCATGGGGCTCTTTAGCCTGGAAAAGCGCAGGCTCTGGGGTGATCTGGTGGCC